GCCTGAGCAGCATGTGACATTTGAGACCCTCAGACAACGATTGTGCGAGGTACCGATTCTTACCCTGTGAGAGGGGGTGGATGATTTTGTAGTTTACTGTGATGCCTCAATCACAGGTTTGGGAGCAGTGTTCATGCAGCGGGGGCATGTGATAGCTTACACATCCATACAGTTGAAGCCTCACGAGGCTAACTATCCGACGAACGACTTGGAGTTGGGGGCAGTAGTGTTCGCCCTCAAGATTTGGAGACACTACCTTTATGGTGTCCGTTGTACCATCTACATGGATCACAAGAGTCATAGATACCTCATGGACCAGACGAATCTTAACATGAGGCAGCGTTGGTGGTTAGATGTGGTAAAGGATTACAATTGTGATATCCTTTATCACCTGGGGAAGGCCAACGTAGTGGCCAACGCCTTGAGCGCAAGACGGTAGTGGCCCCGAGCAGGGATATATGTTTGAGAATGACAGTGATTACTTTGTTGTTGTAGCGGATCAGGGAGGTACAGGTTGACGGCCTCAAGGAGGAGAGGCAGAAGTGTGAGAGGTTCGTGGGCCGAGTAGCTTCTTTTGATTATGACAGTCGGGGATTGTTGACCCTTCATGGGAGAGTTTGGGTACCGTACTGGGGCGGTGTATGACAGGTGTTGATGGACGAGGCTTATAAGTTTCGATTTTTCATCCACCCAGGGGCAACAAATATGTACAGAGATCTTCGACCTGACTATTGGTGGCCCTGCATGAAGCAGGATGTCACCTGGTATGTGGAGAGATGCCTGACATGCAAGAAGGTCAAGGCAGAGCACCAGAGGCCCCATGGCAAGATGCAGCTGTTAGACATTCCAGTGTGGAAATGGGAGGATATCACCATAGATTTTATCACTAAGCTTCCCAGTACCGCACGGGTAGTCGATTAGATTTGGGTCATAGTGGATCGGCTGACCAAGAGTGCGCACTTTATACTGATCCAGGAGAGCATATCGGCTGAGAAGCTAGCCGAGATCCATGTGCATGAGATAATAGCACAGCACGGAGTTCTTGTTTCGGTAGTGTCAGACCGAGACGTCTGTTTTACTTCTAGATTTTGGAAGCGGTTTCACGATGAGATGGGGACTCATCTTCATTTTAGCACTGCTTTCCACCCTCATACGGACAGGCAGAGCGAGAGGACGATTCAGACTCTCGAGGACATGCTCCGGGCATGTGTTTTAGATTTCGGTGGTAGTTGGGATACGTATCATCCACTAGTGGAATTTTCGTATAACAACAGTTACCACTCTAGCATTGACCGTCCTCCTTCCGAGATGTTATACAGAAGGAAGTGCAGGACCCCAATTTGTTGGGGCAAGTTCGATCAACGAGTCATCGGGAGCACCGAGGTGGTGCTCAAGACCACAGAGCTTATTCAGCAGGTTCGTAGCAGACTTCAGATTGCGCAGAGTACGCAGAAGAGTTACGCCGAAAGGAAGCGTTCAGACCCAGAGTTTCAGGTGGGCGATATGGTCCTCTTGAAGGTATCACCTTGGAAGGGTGCTATTAGGTTTCGAAAGAGGGGCAAGCTGGGCCCTAGGTTTATTGGTCCTTTTAGGGTTATGACCTGAGTGGGTTGGGTGGCTTATCGGTTGGATCTTCCAGCAGAGCTTATTCAGATCCACAACACTTTCCATGTTTCTCATCTGAGGAAGTGCTTGGTGGATGAGTCAACGGTTGTACCCTTAAAGGATATTCAGGTTGATAGCAGCTTGAATTATATCGAGAGACCAGTTGCAATCTTGGATTGGAAGATGAAGACCTTGAGGAACAAGGTGGTTCAGTTCGTGAAGGTCCAGTGGCAGCACCGGAAAGGTTCCGAGTGGACGTGGGAGACTGAACAAGAAATGAGAGAGCACTATCTAGAATTGTTTTCAGTTTCATTTGCAGCAGACTTCGAGGACGAAGTCTAAAATAAGTGTGGGGGGGGGGGGGGGGGGAGTTGTAACGCCCCGATCCTCAGGTATGGTTTAAATAAGATTTCTTGGGTTATGGCCTACTCGACGAGTTTTTAGCCCTACTCGTCGAGTAGCAGCAGGATGGGATTGCGTGATAAGTGACCTACTCGACGAGTCCATGTTGGGACTCGGCGAGTAGGTACTGGCAGATGAAACCCTAATTCTCGGGGTTTTACACCCTATTTAAAGGAGCCTCAACCCCTTTGGGCCTCTATACAGTTCTAGAGAGCTCTAATGAGTTTTCCTTCTAGTAAGAACGGGTCTACGACCACAATGTCGGCCCGTTTAGTTAGCAGTAGTTCCAGACCTCGGTCCGATGCAGTAGTTAGATTGCTTGATGTCTTTGTGATTCAAGCATGTTTTGTGTTATGTGTTCCGGACTTCGGTCCGATGCAGTATACAGTATATGTTCTTATGCTAGTTGATATGTTTATGCTATGCTATGTTATGCTTAGTCACTTTCCGGACTTCGGTCTGATGTAGGGGACAAGGTCCCAGTTAGTTCTGAATTTCGATCCGATGCAGTTAGTTCCGGACTTCGGTTCGATGCAAGGGACAAGGTTCCAGACATTCCGGACTTCGGTTCGATGAAGTTTCCGAACTTCGGTCCGATGCAGAGGGCAAGGCCCTGGTTAGTTCCGGACTTCGGTCCGATGCAGTTTTCAGACTTCGGTCTGATGCAATAGGCAAGGCCTAATATATGTTTATATGATTGTATGGTATGTGGTAGTTTTGGGGGGCTCACTAAGTTTTGTGCTTACATTTTCAGTTTTGGTTTCAGGTACTTCCGCAAGTAAAGGGAAGAGCTCGTGACGATGGCATCGCACACACCATAGCTTCAGTTTTTATCCTGGGAGTTGGTTCAGTTTTTCTTAGATATAACTTGACACAGTTTTGATACAGTTTTTTATCACGACACTTTATTATGGTTTTGAGATATTGACGTATGATTTTTATTTTATGACATTCGATGTTATGGTTTTAGTATTATTTAAACAAAATTTTTTTGGTTGTATTTTGGGGCGTTTCATGTCTCCACAAATTACCCCCGAAACAACCAACAAATGCGTGTTGAAGGGTTTTTTTAGTATGTAGCTTTTGAATTTAAAATTTAATGATTTGTTATGCTTATTATTATGCATATCTTGAATTTGAAATTTAATGGTTAGAAAAAACAGGTTTAGTAAATACAACAAAAACTATGCAAAATATTAAAAAATTTAATAAGCTATACTAACGACAAGTTGTCTGTGTAGATAAAATAGAAGTTAGCGGTTACCATCTTTTCCCGACAATATGTCGTCTGAATAGCATTACCTTTTCTGACGACTTTGTGTAGGTAGAGATTATCTTAATACCAACGACTCCTCGTCTGAATTAGTATTTAACAAAACTATTTTTTCCTTAATAATCAATTCCGATGACTTGTCATCGGCACGAGTTAACATATACCGATGACATTTTCAACTTTTACCGATAGGGTTATACCGACGACTCTGCACACATGAAAAATCGTCGGTATAGGTTGTACCGACGAATTGTCGTCAGAACAGTTGTAGAAAATATGGTCGACATAGATGTATATTCTTGTAGTGAAAAAAAATGGATTGTGGAAACAATTCCAAGCGGCATAAACAGATAAATATGCCTGTAAAACGTGGATGTCGTCAGCCAAACCACGTTCGTCGCACACCCGAAGCAAACATCAATCGATTCAGTTTCAAATCCTTCATCAAATATGCCTCTAAAATGCAAACATAATAAAAACGTAAGCCCAACTGTCTAAATTCAATTGAATAACTAAAAAACAGAATCTGATAGCATATCAATCTTAAAATTCTTCAGAATATGGAAATTTAAATGGAAAAATCACACACCAAATCGAACTAAAGCTTAGTTCAAACCCGAAATGAAAGCCTTCTTACCTGCAAATCACAAATTGAGGGTGGTGTAGGGGTTCAGCCCTAAATCGACAGTCGGATTGGGGAGAACCGCGATGAACACAGCATGAGCAATCAATGATGGTAAGAGATAGAGTAAGAAAGGGGTGCAAACACGTTTCATTCAGAAAAAGTGAATGAGAACAGTTTTCCCGTTGAAGTCAGTAGCCGACTTCTTAGAGAGTGGATGTTAGTTTGGAGAAAATTGATACCTGTACGTTTCAGGTAGTGGATCAGAGCACCGATTTAGGGTTTGATGGCTTGGATGAAGGATTAGTGGTGGTACTGTGGTGACCTTCTGCGGCAGATCCGTCCCAATAGTCGTAGTATGAAGTCATTAACAGTACGAATCTGTGATTTGGTTATAGAGGCGGTGAAAAAATTGAAAGAACAAAGACGTACGACAATACCCAAAAAAACATGCTAAAGATATATATGTCGGTCGTATAAGGCCATCCACAATGGAAGTTTAATGAGAGTTTAATAGAATAAATTTGAATATAATATAGAGGAAAGAGAATGTGGAGTTGAATCATCATTGAATGGTTGAATAGAATATGTAGTGAAATAGAATTTGTAACGAAAAGTTGTGAGCTTTTTTTAAGAATTTAATTGAATATATATAGTTTCTCTACTAGTTAGCATTCAACTCTTCATGAGTTTAATGCATTGGAGATTGAAGAAGTCAAAAACAAATAGGGAAATATGGAGGTCAACCATTATACTTTTTTTAATTACCTTTATTGAAATAAAACTCATGAAGCGAACAACACACAAATGGAGCAATTATGCAAAGCACATAGAGCGAATTCTTTACTCTTTACCTTTCGGTAAAACAGGAAAACAGAAATTACCAAAACAAAAGTACTTCAAGTGAATTAAATCGAAACGCAAAAACAACAATCAAACATATGCTTAGCGTTTGCGGTTACACGATTCCAAACTTGGAAAGATAATCGTTATTATTTGGTTACGAGAACATCAACAATACTCGATAACCAGACACCCAACAGACTTACGTACCCATGCATAGTAATGACAATTGAAAATGCATTACTTCAATAATCTTTAAACAATGGGAACCAGCTGAATCTTGATCTCGCCAATAGTTACTTCATCACACCCTGTTCTCGGCACCAATGTCACAACAACAGAGTCATCACCTTCAGCTTCAATGTCTTCCAAGAGCTCCGTGATCCCGAACGCTGCCCCACTCCTCATAAACATCTTGTCGCCATGGTTATGTGGCAACTGTGCGAAACTACCAGCAAACTCACTATCAGCAGCGGTGGTCTGAATTCCATCATCGACGTCGTTGACAAACACGTCAATCTTGAGAAACCTCTCAGCATCAAACGTGATTCCATTCAAGAACAATAACTCATTTGCTTTCTCCTTTTCCTCCTTAGTCCTGTTTGTAGCTGGCCTCTCACTAGAACCTTCACTATCTTGTTTAACTTCAACGGGAATACAATATCCTCCACCTTCTGCACGATTCCGGCAGACTTAGCAGCAACATTCGCCCCCTTCGCATGTGCAGTCGGCCGACTACGGATCCATGGGATTGCTGACCTTTCATAGTCATATCCCATCCGATTAATGTCTACACAGTCTCGGTTGTAGACACGTACAAGATTTTCATTCTCATCGTAAAACACGTAAGACGCATTTAGCCAATCCGCAGAGATCGGATCCTTGTGTGTCTTCCTGTCGATATCTTTCCAGATTTGCCACATCCGGTCGACATTAGCATGGTGGACGTAAAAGAGTGGATCATACCCTGCGGAGTAGAAGTTCCCCATGTCTTCGCTGTTGGCCATCCTAGAATTACCCACCCAGCGGTGAGCCGCCGTGTGAACCCCAGCTTCTATGGTCCCAGCTACATTGAACTCGCTCGCAAGAGGGTCATTTCCAGCTACAAATTCGCCACCGAAGAATCGTTTTGTATCAGTAGAGTTGGTGACCATCTGTCTGTACATTGAAGACAGATTAATCCCTATCTGGTCTATACAAGTGGCATTAGTATCCGCACCAGCATATTCAATATCAAAGATAGAAGGTGGGAGGTGTCTCGCATCCCTTAAAGGGTCAAACAGAGAGTTAGTTTTGCTGTTCTGTTCGAACATGGCAGGAATAACCATTCCATTAGGGTTATCCCAGTTCCAGTATGGTAGAGCGAAGGTTGGATCATTAATCAACTTCCCCAATATCTTCTCGTAGAAATAGAGGTACCACCGGTGGAAAGGAAAGAAGAGCCACGAGTTGTGAATCTGAAGTTGTAAATTCGGGTAACCACTTTGTTCTTGGTTGTAACCACCGTTGCAATAAGCACAGTGAATCTTGCCTTGTTGCTTCCAGCTATGTGGGTGGTCCTCGGGGAGATCCTTCATGGCTTGAATTGCTTGTTGATACTTAGCAACGTAATCGGCAGTGGCTTTATGTGCAGCTGGTCGAACACGAAGCACAGGGTTTGAAGGAAGGACGTAATCCATTGGTTTGTTTGTTGAAAGCACCGGAGGGCAACACGCTAATCCCCTTATAGCGTCTTTGGTGTTCCTAAGGTTTGACGTCGCAGCAACACAATCTGAAATATTGTCCGGAGCGGCGATGGGAATGCCAAAGGCTGATGGAATGGTGGTCAAATTGGCAGCGCCGTAGAGACCTCCGAGTCCCAGAAGCAAGTTTCTCCTGTCGACGTTCTGCGTTTCAAGTGGTGTTTTGGGTAGTATGAGCTTTCGGGTATCAGAATTATTGAAGGTATTGTCATTGTTATCATCGGGTGCATTGCATGAAACTTTGAAGCGATGGAATGGCTTAACATGCGAGGATGTTTTGGGAAATAAGGGTTTTGTGGTATTGGTGGAGGTGGGAAGACTAGAGAAGGCAAGAGAAGCCATCATCTATGGGTGGTGCTATAAGTCCTCTACTGAGGTCCCATTATATAGAAAAAATTTTGTGGAAAATGGGTATCAGGCATGTGTTCAACGTTGTTTTCAGCAGGGTAAATATTAATATTTTAAGTACACAGTTTTAAATATGGACATATGGTTGTACAGAATTGGTTGAGCATTGTTAGCTACGTACATCAAATTGGATAAGATGAATCATTGTAAATTTATTTTAGAACCCCTGTATACACGCACCCCTATATTACTCATATTGCACATCTTTCGTCTCAAAAGAGACTTGAACGTTACCTACAAATTAAAATTTTGCGATGGATGTCTAGTTACTAATGTTAACAAAAAGAAAAAAAGAAAGCTCTACTCTACTATATAGATGATCAACCTTTGAAGACGATGAGAGGATGAGATTCAACTATATTTCTTATAGATGGTTCGAACATCGTTCTAATCTTATTTATCTAAATTCGAATACGTGGTTTTATTGCTCTCTAGCGCGTTGTTAGTTGTAGTTGTTTTATAATATCCGTTGTTAAAGAAAAATATAATGTCTTGCATGACAACCGGATTTAGAATACTTCAACAATATTTGAATGTGTATCATACAATCCTAAAAAAGTCAACAACATGATCTTTGCCGCGCATCCCTATGATAATGGATCTAGTTTTCATTGAACCTACTCGCCGGTTGGTAAGAGTCATAATGTTGAATTTAATTTTCTTAATTTTAGAGGTAGGCAGAGATTGGGGTGATAGAAGATTTTAAATGTCCATGCAAGTTGTAACAAAGGACCCATGGAAGTCAAGAAGAAAGATAAATAGATATGGGAGGGGCAACAGTGATGCGGGCCCCGATCTTTATTTGAAGTGATTGTGGTGTAGGTGCCTATATATGAGGGTCTAACGTTATGTCACAGCGCCATTGACGGAGATGTAGTTTTTATTGTTTAGAGATGTCAATGGAAGTAAATGGGACAAGGGGTGTATCGCCCGCTCCGACCTCATAAATTTTTTCGTTCCCCTGTTTTCGCTCTGCCATCGAAATGTTCACATAATCCCACCTGCAAATCACCTTTATTACCCCGCCTCTACACCGGTTCTCCCGCCACGATTGATTATGAGCCGTCATTTTTTAGGTTAAAAAAATTGTTATTTAAGCAAAATGAATTTATTTTTTAAGTAACAAATAAATATTAATGTTAAAAATGAAAAAAAAAACACAGCATCTTAAAAATATTATACTAACAAATTAAAAACATATTTTTTAATGAATTTTAGAATATCAAAATAATGTTAATATTTATTATATTTGTAAAATTAATATATGTAAATTTGTCTGTAATTTGTTAAAAGGGTCCGTATGGGGTTCAGGACGGAATTGCCTAATCCTACCCCTACCACTAAAATTAAAACATAAAACATGGGTTAACATTGTCTTCGCTCTTGCTCCCCTTGATTTTTTTTTTTTTTTTAAATTCCCCTAAATTGGACAGCCCGAAGGGAATGGAGTCTATAAAACTTTTTGATATACCTATTTATGGTGATACACAATATTTTTTATTTTTATTTTTCATAGAAAACGGTTCAATATTAGAATATTATTTACTTGTTTTATTACTCTTTATAATATAGGGGCTCCTTGTGTCCTTCGTAATTTTTGTATCTATATAATGATTTATACACGTAATCTTAATTATGAGTTCCATATTAATTAGCATGATACCAAACCTTGTGTCCTTAGTAATTTTTGTATCTATATAATGATTCATACACGGAATCCTAATTATGAGTTCCATATTAATTAGCATGGTACCAAAGCCAGGTTACGTATGCCTCCTAGGAAATAGGAAGAGACATTTTTTTTCTTTTGTTGGGTGATAATAAAACAATTTAAGCACTCCCCACAAATATCAAACAAACTTGGGTGAACTTAAAAAATTTCAGTGAACTTATGGAAAGAAAACTTCTGAAAACGGCCTTACACTTTACAGAAACTTGTTAGACCATTTTGAGCTTTAAAAAGTGCATTTGTGGCCCTTTTAGTGTTCATTCCAAGAAGAAGACGTGGTTAAACAAGCTTGGAACGAGTTGGTGCTTCAAGATCCCGCATCATAATCATCTTGCAAAGCTTCTAGAGGTAAACAGCTTGGATCTTTCATCTTAAATCTCTAGATTTAGTTAGGGTTTTCTACCTTGTCCCTTTTGGTTGATTTTGTGTGACAACCGTCAAATTCAAATCAAAGTCAAAGTCAAGTCAACAAGTCAAACCGGTCAAACTTGTCTAATACTTGTATGATTAAAAGTTATTCTATGAATATGTCCATTTGTATGTCAAGAATTCAAGTGTCTCAGATATTTTATGTGTTTATCATTGTGAAACCCTAAGAAAGGAGTTAAACGCATCAAAACACGACTATGGACCCTTTAAGGATCTTAAAATAATCATAAACAAAGTATAGTGGGGTTCACGAACCTTGCATTGCGAGACTATGCATTATATTGGCTAAAATCAAATCTCTCTCAAATCTCTCCTAAATCTCTCTCAACATTTTATAGTCATCTAGGTCATCCCGACCCTTAACTTGGCCAAAAATCGTGCGAAACGGGAAGTTAAATTGAAAAATAGCCATATACGGTTGAAGCCCCTATTAAGACCGAAGCCCAATTAGAACCGAACCTTACGAACCGAAATACCGAAGGGCCGAAGCCGAAACCGAAAATGCAGACGGGATCGAACCTCCTGCGAACCGAAGCCAGTCATAGCCAAACCCTCCTTACAACCCAAAATAGACCGAGCCCTCGGTCCATTTCCGTTCCCTGCCACCTTCAGACCGAGCCTCTACCTTCGGTTCCTTCACCCATCTTCGGTTCCTCCTTCTCCCACTCTTAGTTCTCACCTCCTAAGAGTCGAACATCGCAGGTTCGCCCCTTTTTCCCGAATTTTGACTCTTCTCGCGTTTTAAGCCCATTTTCATGATTTTAACGTTTGATTTTCATCCAAATTCATATTTTGACATATAAGACCCCATATATTCACATTTTATTCATATCCAAAGGATTTATTAATTATCAAATCATTATTTCATTAATAGAAAATATCTAAGGATATTTAACCCCACAAGTGGGTCAAGTGTGCCCACTTGCCTCCATGCGTCACTTCCTCATTATCCCAACTCTATCCACATCACACAAACCAATGTAAACATCCTTTCAACTTTGCAAGTTGATCCAACAACATCTATATAAAAAAGTCCATGGAGGATTTCTTGGTTCACTTTGGTCATTCTCTAACTTCTCAAACCATCAAGAGAGCTTCTTTTTCTCTTTACTTCCAGCCACTTTTTGGAAGTGTTCTTGAGCTATTACTTTACTTTTTGGTAAGTATTGCATCTAAAATCAAGTGTTGTTCCATGTTTTCATAACACCCTTGAATCATCTATACACATTTAACACCAAAAATCGTTCATAGGATCATCCAACACTTCAAGTGTTCATCAAGTGTTCTCGACTTGATACTCCTCGTCTTCGACCTTCCACTCTTCAAAGAATTACTCAAGGTGAGTTCATACCCCTACATTTTCTAGTTTTCTTTAGTTTTCAGGGGGGGGGGGGGATACAACTTAAAACACCAAAATATATTTAAAACTTAACTTGACAGCTTACAACAGAAAAGTTGTGATCTGTTCACGAACTATTTTAATCAACTTAAACTTAATATTTTTCAAAACTGTTTAATATGAAAAGAGTTCAGGTTTATACTTTTAAAATGACTACTTGCACATATGTATACGATATTTCTACAATTTATGGTGAGTTTTACAAAACTGCCTACCACTGAGCAACGAAATCGGACCAAGTTGTGAAGATGAGCATTTTCACACTGGTTTGAGACCACCAAATATTATAGGAAAATTTATGAACACAGTAGACTCTTTTTCCAAACTGTCCGAGTTTACGGATTCAGTTTTGACTTATGACAATTTTTCTATAAATATTCTAAAACAGTGATAGTTAAAGGTAAAACCGTCAAATACAAGCTTAAGAGTATTTCACGCCTTGTAACATGCTGAGCAAGATGTGTAAGATTTACACTTAATAGTTTCAATGTCTTTTTGTTGAAATACAAAGTCATGCATATCGAGGTTTCATTAAATCATAACACACAGATAAACTATAATAGGTATAGTTTGAACACCTCATTTAACAAATAAATGGTAATACAATCAATTTACAAAATGAGTATTTCATTACAAACAACGTGAACTTGTTAATGAATAAATTTGTGAGACATTCATCTTCGGGGCACTCTTAAGTACCACATAAAAGTCCTGTCGTTATAATCAGAATCTCTCGGAGGAAGAGTGTGATAGTTGTGTATAGATCTATATTGGTTTGACAAACCCGCACCTAAGCTGCTTGCAACAGCTAGATCGGCAGGTCTAGGGTGATAAGTTTCATAACATTCCAACGCCTGAAGAACATCGAGTACAAGGTCTTCGAGTCTTAGCATGGTTATAACAACTCAAATGAGAAATTAACAAAACACCGTGTTCACGGGAATTTATGGATTTCACACAAAAGGAGTTTTATGTAAATATAAAACCACACACATAAGTATGAGGATTTACTTACATATACTATGTCTTGGTTCAGTTAAGACTACAACAAACCTTTTACAAAATATTTGATTTTCTATAAACAAACTTGTAACAAACTTTCAGGGACAACATCCATTTTTCATTCATAAATTGCTTATGAACTCACCAGCTTTAATGTTGATGATCTTTCAAAAACAACTTGTATTCTCAAGTATTCAGTAACACAGGTAACCACAAATTTTTTGAAGGCAAGACGCTAAGGCGCAGATTTCTTTTGAACTATTTTGACACCATATGTAATTTATTTGGAAACATGTATTTTTGCAACTATGTAACCTTTTAAATTATATTTATGATGGTTGTATTTACTTTCTTCACTATGGTTATGATACTGAGTAT